TTTTGCAACATCTAGATAAAACACTTGCAACATACGTATGAAACACTTGAAAACATACGCTTGAAACAAGCATGTAATGCAACATAATATACTTCTACTACATCCAGATGAAACACATGAAATATACGTCTGAAACAACTGAAACACTTGAAACTTACACTTGCAACATGAAACATGCGTTTGCAACATGCGTATATAGCCATTGCAACATTCGAAACAACCTAATAAAACACTTGAAACATACATCTGAAACACCTAAAAACTCTTAAAACATGGCATCATCGGCGACCATGGCCTACCTGTTGGAAAACTACGGTATCTAGTAAGCTCGTGTCAGGGGAGACGTCGAGAACAACGACCCATCGTACGCCTCCGCCGTAGGGCTCTGTACCGTGTCCGCACCACGGTACGGGACGACGGTGACATGGTAGGGAAGATTGGCGAGGAGGACAGGGAGCGGATGGAGACCGCCCTTGCGGAGGCGCTGGAGTAGCTGGAGGAGCAGGACAGCTCCACGGGACAAACAACAGAGGACTATGAGGAGAAGCTCAGGGAGGTGGAGAGGTGTGCGGCCCAAACATCAAGCATGTGGGGCGGCGGGGATAGGGCGTGGCGTAGGATGGGCGTCTGGCGCACGGCGCGGTGCGGGATTAGCTTTTGGTGAACGGAGAATGGATAAGATAGCGAATAGATACAAGAGGGAAGGTGAGCGGTGGACTGCTTTTAGTGGGATGTGGGCTTGCATCCGGACGAGGTAAGTAGCATTATTGTTGTGGTTAGGGTGGCCCATTGAACAAAAAGAATTTAACCACTATAAATGTACCATGTTGATACACAAATATATCAACTACGAAACACAATTAAGATAAAGAAAACATAAGAACTTCATAAAAATAGATGAGTACATCTTTCCCAACGTATAGATTTGAAATATTACATACCCATTGTAATTGACGGACAGCACGTCACTCCCTGTTCGCTTGGCTGATAAGCCAGACTGAAAAGTACTGTTCGCTGATTTTTTGTGAGAGAAAAATATTGTACCATGACTGATAGCGAACAAGTGTGTCTTATGCACTTTCGATGTCCGTGCCAATTGCGGATCGCCGATCACCAATCCTGGCTCCTATTTTTATTAATCGCTGCACTACTCTCACATACCCGGATATGTTAAGTGTTCATGCAGTGTATGGTGTGGATTAGAGTCCAATCTCAAAACTAATTGAAATGCATGACACGGTTATGATTATTGATAAATTAGTAAACCTCATATACCCATAGGAATTAGAGCAGCAAGCGTCTAAGCATAGTACAGAGTTTGATTCTCACTTCTCGGACAAATTGAAAAGCATGATATAATTGCTAACTAAACCTCCAAGCCACAAGTCATCCAGATAAACACACAATAAGCTGAACGTCCCGTTTCAATGCACAAGTATATTTGCTCATAATATATATAAAGAGTAAACTTGTCGAGGGGTATTATTTCCGAACTTTTTACTTGTAGTTTTGAGTTCTTAAACTTGCCGGGTACTCCTTAGTTTTAAATTAAATCATTTTTTAAAGTCATCTTAAGTCAAATAATCATAAGTTTAACAAATAATTTTAGAAAATAAAACAAATATCTTGGGTCCATATCGTGTTACCAAACACGGTACCATCTTTTTTTTCGTTTTCGCGAATTACACAAGTATAAACACAAGTTCAACACGCACGCACACTGTACATGATAAAAAATTAAACTAGGATATAGTTAGGGAGCAAGTGCGTGTAAAGTTTGAGCTTGAACCGGAAATATTTGTTTTTTTTTTCTAATGATGAGACGCAATCGTTCCACTTGTTTGAGGAAAAAAAGATCTCAAGTGGATGGACAGGAACGAATGAACCATTTTTATGAACAATGATAATTAAATTTAGCAACAAATCTCATAAAATTTACATATATGTAAGTAATTTGAATGGTTTAATCGTAGGCCTATTGCCTATGATAGGAGGTGCGTTCATTGGGTCATGGGTGCATGGTTATAGCGTTTGCATATCCTTACCTTTTTTTATTATGATGATGAGGGGATCTTTACCTTGGTTTGGGCTCTTAATTATTTGGGCCGGTCACATGTTGGCCCAATTAACCCACCCAAGGCCTACCTACTGTTTTCTATCCACAAGGCCGGAAACGGTCCTAGAAAATGGGGGACCGTTGCACAGCCGCGGGCATCGCCTCCTCCCTTCGCTCCTCCTCCCCTCCTCGCCGGCGCGGCGCGGGCATGCTGGCCACCTACACGGCATCCTCGCTGAGGCGCCGCGATCCTCGCGGCGGGGACGACCCACCTCGCGGTGGACCCGGATGAGCCGCGCGGGTCCGTGGTGGGAGGGCAGAGCAGAGGAGATGTTTGAGGAAATGCCTCAGCGGAGAGCTCCGCGCGGAGGCGAATTAGAAATGCTGTGCGGTTGTGCCCATCAAACCCAAGAATCTAGACGGGTTCCTGCACCTCTTGCGGTGATCGTGGCGCCTTGTTTACTCGCCGGGCCGCTGGGCGGCGCGGGTTGGAATCATGGATGACTGAATTCTCGTTGGAGAGTGCCTATGCGTTATCTACTCGGAAATTTCGTTCAACGCCTACCTGTTGACTTACAAGAATATACTGTTGAAGACTATGTATGATATAGGAGTAAGCGATCAAACTCCTTTCTGTACTGGTTTCCTAATCAATTTTAGTATACTTTGTCACTGTCAATCGCTGCTTGTGTGTCCAGGAGCCTGGGCGATGCTGAATATTTAGGAATGGAGCGCAATGTAGCCTGCACCCACGGGTATCAGCTGAAGTAAAAGAGTGACGAAAAAGGTTAGTGCTTGGTTTGTTCCACCGAACAGCTCCACGAACCTTTGTTGTTCTCTTGGATCAGATGGACTTTAGTCACCTAGCTACATTTTGTATACATGTGTGCAGGAACAGGCGTTGCATCCAAGATGGTCCTGTGGAATGGTCTGGGCCAAGCTGCCACTGTCGCACAACTGTCAGGACTTGACGCTGGTGGGCTGATCCAGATGATCATCCAGGCTGTGCAAACTGCTCAGCGGAACAGGGTGGAGTGCCGGCAGCTTGCAAACCATGTGATGATAATCAGTGACCTACTACAGCTGCTTCAGCAGCCAGGGATGATGAGTTCCCCACAGATTAGTAGACCACTGGATGGACTGAAGGACGCACTCCGGCAAGCGTACATGCTAGTCACATCCTGCCAGAGGAGCAACACCATATACCGCTTCTTCATGGCAGGAAATCGGGCTCAACAGTTCCGTGATGTACGGAATAAAATTGATTCATACCGTATCTTCCCTTTAATGAGCCACATCGACACCAGATATTTTATGAACAGATTTTGCAGAGGTGCCCAGCCCCAGGTAAAGATGCTGAATTAGTCATATGAAAGTGTATTGTTCCTATCATTGCTCTTGATTTTACATCTCCATTTCTAAGCAGTAGAACACATCCCCTTTCTGGTAAATTAAGTATTTTGTAGAAACATAAAACCACGCACACCAATCATAACAGGGTCTAGAAATAGTAATATAAAAGCTCATGACTTCATTAAAGTGAATGCTTATTGAAGTGATTCAGTTAAAGGCATGAAAGGCCAGTTTATAATTGTCTGAATATTTTTCCTATCCTATTAGATGAACCAAATTTTGATCTGTATCTAGTTGTTTGCATATATAGATGGCAGGACCTTTCACTAAAACCTATCTCTTCCAATCCCCATATTTGCTATTGTGCAAGCTCTTCTTGATGACGTTTGTGGCTGCTCTAGATGGCATTGCTGACCTAGAACAACTTTAGGTGCGCCTCCTTGACAGGTTCCTTCTCAAGAGGCGAGTTTTTTTTTTTCATAAAGAGTTTGCCAAAACCGAACAATAAGGTTTTAGAAACCACCTATGCTGTTTTATCTAGTTTTCATTGCAAACTCGATCCTGAAGCAATCCCGCCATGCTAGACCTTTGTGTATAGGACCAAATTTGCGACAATAGCATCAGTGATGCATCTTATTCTATTACCTATGTAATCAATGGAGATTTCCCTTTTCCTAAAGAAAGTTTGGCCCTGTGTGGATCACACCAATGCAGGAAGCAACGAGTGAGGTTATGGAGCAAGGCAGACGGTTAGTAGGGTCAGGATAAGAGCGAACCAGATGCTCAAGATAAGGCTTGCTAACCTACCATGCAATCCCATTTGCAGCGGAGAAAAGAGACCTGTATTTGAGACTGAAAGATAAAAGTATTCAATAAAAGAGGGACAAAAGGACTCAAGTATGGGGAATATTTTTAAAGTATAAGATGCAGCACATGGGAGTGAAAGTGTGACTATACCAACAGCTATTAGTGGTCATGAAAGGTCAATTGCGAATCCTGGCAGAAGTTTTTTGGATTAGTGCGCACACCGAATAATGCGTTAGAGAAACCGTGCACCGCTAATCCCACCCTACACGTGCGCGTCTTTTAAGAGTCTCGGCTGTGCTGCTGTCGGTCACCTTCTTCTAACTCGTCCATCCCCTCTTCTCCAGTCTCCAGAAAAAAATTAACAAGCCCGAGGATTGAGGAGTGTCCTGATCATCTGAGGTGAGCATCACTATCATTCCTGTGGTACCTTTGTAATACTTCCTCCATCTATTATAAAGCATATTTGGATTTCAAAAATTGATCCTGTCAGAAAGTTCTTTCTATAATTTTCCATTAGTGGTTACAAAATCATAATCATTATATCATCAAGTTCTTGTAAATACGTACAAATCCAATGATATCAACCTTATCAAGCCTATCTATATATTAATGGACAATATTAGCACCAGCAGCAAAGGTACTCACTAGTTACTACATACATGGCGTTCATGCTTTTGATGAGTTTTACAGTAGCTAATCAGTTAATAAGGATCTCCAGTTAGTAATATGTGTACCTTGCCTGTGGATGGATGATTTTACTAGGAAGTACGCAAAGGTTCAAGCCATGGCGGCTGTCCTTGATGCCATGGCACCCTACGTGAAGAAGATGATCATGGACATGGCAGAAGAAGAGGTGTCTATGTTGCTTGGGGTATCTAGTGAGATCTTGAAGCTAGAGGGGAACCTTGATAACCTCAAGGCATTCCTAGCTGATGCTGAGAGGAAGCGCATTACTGATGAGACCGTGCAAAGATGGGTGATGAAGCTTAAGAACGTCATGTATGAAGCCACCGACATCCTAGACCTATGTAACCTTGAGGCTGACAAGCCGATGGGGTCGAAAGGAGGCATATTGGAAGACAAAGTGCCCAGCTGCTTCCAATCGTGGCTCTTATGTCTGCGGAATCCCATGTTCGCCCATGAGATAGGCAGCCAAATCAAGGAGTTGAACCATCGGTTGGATGGCATCCACAAGGAGGCTAAAAAGTTCAACTTTATAGACCTAGGTTCCTATCCTGAACAGAGGATGCCAACTAATGCTCGACAGACTAGCCAGAAGATGACATCTGAGTTTGATGAGTCGAGTATCGTTGGTGAGAAGATCGAGATGGAAACAAGGGAGCTTGCCCAGTTGCTAATCACCAATCGTAACCACAACATCAAGGTGGTGTCCATCGTGGGCACGGGTGGCATGGGAAAGACAACACTTGCTCAGAAGATCTTCAATGATACAACCTCCATCTTTGATGATACAACTGTCCAAGAACACTTCAAAGTGAAGATATGGCTGAGCATCACCCAGCACTTTGATGAGGTGGTGCTACTGAGGACAGCAATTGAGCATGCTGGGGGAGTCCATGGTGGGGCACAAGACAAAACGCTCCTCACAAGGACCCTGATCGACACCTTGTCCAAGGGTAGATTTTTTCTGGTCTTGGACGATTTGTGGAGCGACGAAGCATGGAGTCAGGTGCTGTCTGTCCCAATCAAAAAAGCTAGCCAAAAACAAGCGGGGAACTGGGTCCTTATCACCACGAGATTAGAAAACCTGGCTCAACAGATGGGAGCCTCCTTCTACCAGCACCATGTCAGCCCACTCAATGAAGAGGACGCTTGGTCCTTGCTCAACAAACAGCTGCCACCATCGCCTAGTGAGGTTAGTCTATACATAGTCCGAGAAAATTTATCCATTGCAATAATATGTGCATTCAGTTACATTTACTGATTTAGGGCCTCTTTGGCTTCATTGATTTAGAAAACTATGGTATCAAGAAACTATATATTATAGGAAAGGTTGTGTGAAATCTTGGTTTAGAAATAAGAGATCCTGGACGGAGTTTGAAAAATACGGTGTGTAAAATATGCATGAGCTAAGAGCATCTTGAAGAGTTCCCAAAAGACTCTCCCAATCCTTGACTTTTGGCAAAATTGAAAAAACACACATCTGCAACAACTCCCATTCATTTTTTTTAAGTGAGCCGCTGGCAATGGCCGAGATGCTTCTATAGAAACGAAGCCACATGAAAGCGTGGCGTGTCACTGCTGCACCAGCTCATAAGAACCATAGCCAATTTAGTAGTCACTGGCCCACTATGGATCACCACTGGAACGGGTATCACAACATGCCATCCGTGTAAAGGAGGTCACCACCAAAACTAATGGCAAACACCAAAATTGATAGAAGACATGCAGTCGCCACCACCCAAACCAAATCAAGCAACCACCACAACCACACCAAACTGACCAGCGCTAAGTGGGGCCATTAGAAAGGTTGTGTGAAATCTTGGTTTAGAAATAAGAGATCCTGGACGGAGTTTGAAAAATACGAACTGACCAGCGCTAGTTGAATCTCAAGGCACTCGTAACTCATCAGATTTTTTCAAAGGGATGACAAGCTTTGCCGCGATTTTATTAGATGAAGAAATATAAAACAAGTATTAGCCCAGGGTGGAAACCGGGTCAAAAACCACACAACTGAGGAGAGTGCACCACTCATCCCGCACAACTTTGGCACAATCACCCAGACAACTAACAACTTTAGCCGCTCCTTGCTCAGGTAAATTACACCGAGCCATAAGTGGCTTCCACTATGTTGAACCATAAGTTTTTGTCCATCTTCTAAGACATCAAAGCCAAAAAAAATCCTTAATTGATATTAGTAACAATAACTAGTGTACAAAATGACCCCTAGCTAATCAATCATTTAATATTGATTTTACAATTATAATGAATAGAATTGAAATAAATTAGTTAAAAACTATTAATATTAAACACATTGTTGATGCAAACCTAATCCCTATTAATAGACCATAAAAACTAACTAATTAATAGGCCGATTGTTCATGCACATAACCATCTTTCTTCTAAAACAAAATCATTACTGATGTTAAGCAACTAAAAATCTAATGCTAGACATAGATCTAATCCCTATTCAAAAACTAACTAATAGACAATAAACTTAATATATGGCCACTAAATAAGGCTATAATCTTGTTCCCCTACTAAATTTAACCTAGTACCTTCAAGGCTTTGATCTAATTTGCTTCATAAATGCCTCAATCCAAGAGAGAGAAATAAAAAACCTAATTAAGCAAGTAATCTACCACTAAAACTTCAAAAGGATGTTAAAATAGCATTTACTTAACTTCAAGAGTCTCCTCCTCCGAAGAAATCAAAATCAAAATCTTCCCCCTTTAGATTTATATTTTTTAGTAAGCTGTCCAAGCCCCCTCTTTCTTTCTCCTTGCGCTACAGTATCTCTTGTGGAGGAAGAAAGGGGGCTGGAATTTATATTGGAGTTAGTAGTAGAGGTGGCTCTTATTATAATCGCTTCTAGAAATACATTTTTAGAAAATACATTCTGGGCCTGGTGCAAGCGATAGAGTCTTATCGTCTGTGACCGGAAGGGCCTGGGTTCGAGTTGCGGTCTCCTCGCATTGCACAGGCGGGGGTAAGGCTTGCCACTTACATCCTTCCCCAGACCCCACACAGAGCGGGAGCTCTCTGCACTGGATACGCCCTACATTCTGGAGGCGGTTTTGAATCCCATCCGCCTCTAAAAATGCATTTTTAGAGACGGTTGGTTTAGTGGGACCTGATAGAGGCCTCTATAGAGGTGGGCCTTTGCCCCAAAAACCCAGTTGCTACAAATTGTTCTGCAATAGTGTTATAGGATAGCCATATTTGATCGAATGATTCAACCTGTGATCTTGATATGGAGTAGAATTACCAAATCAAATTAAACTTGGATTCTAGGAATCTTGCCAGCAACATCATCTTCCAAAAAACGACTTACTCTCCAGGCTCATCCACCCTCCTTGAACAAAAGGGAGGGTAGAATATTTTATGAGGACCGGACTACCTGGCCATGCATGGAAACCAAATCGTCATGTTCGTGGTGCATCAGAATGTATTCCAATATGCTAGCCTTTCAAAAAAAGGAAAAGAAGAAATAATATATACTAATCGGCCAATCACATATATATCATTACTTTATAAAAAATGATATTTTATATTTTCTAATTTGATGAGAAATTTATGCATACCAGATGTATTTTAACAAAAATAGTCTTCCATTGTTGTCAGGTTGGTGGGATTGATCACCTGAAAGATGTCGGGATGAAAATTATTAACAAGTGTGGTGGTTTACCTCTTGCTATCAAAGTGATGGGGGGACTATTAAGCACGAGGCACCAAAGTGAGGGTGACTGGAAGGCTGTTTTGAACCATCGTGCTTGGTCAGTGGTTGGATTGCCTAAGGAGCTTGACAACGGAATATTCTTGAGCTACGAGGATTTGTCTCCACAGCTGAAGCAGTGCTTCCTATACTGCTCACTTTTCCCCAAAGGTACCAGTATTTGGAGGACATCTGTTATTCCTATGTGGATCAGTGAGGGATTTATCCAACCTGAAGATAAAAGCACTACACATGATGATCGACTAGAAGAATTAGCAACAGATTACTACCAGGAGCTAATCAAGAGGAATCTTATAGAGCCAACCGAAAGCATATCTGTCACTGGATCTGCATGCACTATGCATGATGTGGTGCGCTCCTTTGCTGAATTCATGGCTAGAGAAGAATCATTGGTGATCCAAGATGACCAAACAGCCGGTGGTAGTAGCCAAAGCCTTGTGCGTCGTCTATCTATAAGATCAACCAAATCGGTACCAGAATGGAACACACTACAAAAGCAAAAGACAGTAAGAACATTAATTATAAACTGCAGAATTAATATCAAGCCTGGTGATTCACTGCGTAGCTTGTCCACCCTAAGAGTGTTGTTCATAAGTGATGCGGATTGTGATCGGCTGGTTGACTCCTTATGTCAGTTGAGGCACCTAAGGTTCCTTCACTTAGGAAATACAGATATATCTAGGCTGCCAGACAACATTGGCAGGATGAAATTCCTGCAACACATTGTGGTTTTAGGCTCTAGGAATTTGGAGAGTCTTCCCAGAAGCATTATAGAGCTAGTACATCTCAGAACTCTTGACATATCTTATTCAAATGTTAATTCTGCGGTACCCAAGGGGTTTGGTGGGTTAAAAAATCTAAGAACACTTTATGGGTTCCCGGTACACATGGTCAGGGATGAGGATGGGTACCGGTGCAGCTTGGAAGAGATAGGGGCTCTACCTCTGCTCAGGGATCTATCTTTACGTGGACTAGAAAATGTGTCTACTAGCTCGTTGGCTAAAGAGGCCAGGATTCGTGACAAGGAGCACCTTGTTTATTTGGAATTAAATTGGAGCAGCAGCAGGTCCATGGGAACGAGGGATGATGAGATCATCAAGACGCAAGAGCAGCAGCAAGTAGCGGAGGAGGTATTGGAGGAGCTCTGCCCTCCATCCTGCGTATATCATATGGTTATTAGAGGATATTTTGGTTGCCGATTACCGTACTGGATGGAGGTACCGGCAACAGCTGTCTTTAGAAGCTTGAGTTATTTGATGATGGACAACCTGTCTTGCTGCACCCAGCTCCCTACTGGTCTGTGCCAGCTTCCCAGTTTGAAATTGCTGCAAATCACTGATGCACCGGTGGTCAAGAGTGTCGGGCTTAAATTCCAAGCGTTCTCCTCCTCTACGTCGGCATCGGCATCGGCAGCAGCTTTTCCTTTCCTCGTAAGTCTTTGCCTGGAGGGCTTGTGTGAATGGGAGGAATGGGAGTGGGAGTTGGAGCAGCAGGGCGTGGATTTGACTGCGGGTGGCATGGCCATGCCTGCTCTCGAGAGGCTTCAGATAAGAAACTGCAACCTGAGGTGCCTTCCGCTGGGGCTCACCAATAGCAAGAGGTATGCTTTGAGACAAGTTGAACTACACAGGCTCCCCAACCTAATATCCGTGGAGAAGCTTCATTCCGTTGTGGTACTTGATGTGTTTGACTGCCCTGAGCTGAAGAGGATAAGCGGTCTCTCCAGGCTGCAGAAGATGAGGATCGTCAACTGCCCAAACTTGGAGGCACTGGAAGGTGTTCCTGTGCTCAACAGCTTTGAGCTCGAGGACGCCACCATGGAGAAACTTCCTAGCTACCTTGGAGGTATCAACCCAAGGCACCTCAAGTTGGCTTGCAGCAGCAAGGTCTCTCAATGCTTGTTTATAGGGAGTGCTGAGTATGATAAGATCAGCCATATCAAGATACGCACTATCTGTTGTCTGTAAGGACTAATGACCTGAGAGTGGTAGTAGGAAATGCTCCAGGGTCAATCAGAGAGATCTATCAGGGTTTTATTAGGTAGGAGAAAACAGAGGAGGAGGAAGAACATTGTAACTTTAACTTGTGATTGGACTCAGGTAATTTTATTTCCTCATCTATCTAGGAGGTCATTTAGTTAGATTCACAATTGCTATAAAGTACACCGATTTGCTACATATATAGCACGCTTATCTCCATGCATCAATCAGTACCAAACAAGGAATTACAGAGTATGACCTTACCTGTCCCTAGGCCAGCTGAAGGTCCATGGAGTTACAGAGTGAGGTGTTCATCAGAAGATGACGTTGGAAACAGCAACCAGTACAATCTAAAATACAAGTGTAGTGTTGACAACCGAGGAAGAAGAAAGCTCTTGTAACATCCCGCCTAAATGGGCCGATTTCCGGTTGGGCCGAGTACTGTAACTGTGCGGGTGTGTTTTGGACCGAGACTGTAGCAGCGGGCACTGTAGTAACGAGTTGGGCTGGGTCAAATTCGGGCTACTGTAGAGTCACAGCGTTGTAGCTCGGCACCGTTCACGCGAGTTGCTGTAGTATCGCGGAAACTGTGCAACCGGTGGTTTAGTCCCAAACTGTGAATGCTAGACGGCCAGACCGACCTAAATAAACAGGCTAAGGATGTGTACTAATTTTTGATTAATTATTTTGCGTGAAGCGAGAATCAAAACGTAAACGGATTGCAACCAGGTATAGAGCCCATCTTTCAATAGAGTGGGCCTGTGTCATGACTTATCAGTCAACCAGCACTGGTGTTACGTATAAATGATATGGACGATGATGATACAAACATTATATGTTCCTCTCATAACAAACCAGCACTAGCCAGGCTTATTAGTCCAAAAATCAACCAGCGAACAGAATGATTCAATGTGCTGTACTCAATATCTTTTCTGCAAAGGACTCACTGGCTGTTGTAAAAAATTATGATAAAGATGCAGGACATTTCATATAGCATAATAGCAACAATGTGTCAGGACTTATCAGCCAACCAACTATGTTTTCCTCTCATAACAAACCAGCACTAGTCAGGCTTATCAGTCCAGAAATCAATCAGCGAACAGACTGATTCAATGTGCTGTACTCAATATCTTTTCTGCAAAGGACTCACTGGCTGTTGTAAAAATTTATGATAAAGATGCAGGACATTTCCTTTTTCTTTTGACTAAATTTCAATAGCGATCCTTAAACTTGTCATGAATTTTTGTCGAGGTCTCGGTACTTGTAAATTGCATGTTCGGCTTCCTAAACTTGTCTCGAGTTCTCATTTGGGTCTCGGTACTTGCAAATTACAGGTTTGGCTCCATAAATTTGTCCTGAGTTTTCATTCCAGCCCAGGTACATGCAAATTCACACTCAGGTTGCTAAAGTTGCATTATTGTACCATTCTGGTCCATCCACCCCTGCATTGTACCAACTTCGCCCCTGCGACACGGCACATGCCTACCTCGCACGCGCAGTCACGCAGCATTGCCCAGTGCTCGCCCTAGTACCATGTGCCTGCTTATGCATGCTGCGTCATCGGCGCGGTGCCACACCCATGTTGTCATGCTAGGCCTACTCGTGCTCACCCTCATCGCCATGCCATCTGTGGTACACGTTACACTCACCCTACTTCACACACAGCGATGACCCTACCCTTGCTAACGGATGTGAAAAAGGCTAGGAGAGTGGAGAATGAGTGCGAGGAGATGGCAAGAACAAGTGCAAGCTCCTACGCCACGGTGGAGAGGAAGCAGTGTGGTGGTGGCGGTTTCGAATGCGACTTCCATGAGGCGAGAGGGCTGGCCCCGCAGTAAGGTGGAGCAGGAGCGAGTGAAGAAGAAACGAGGAGGGCCACGACGCCGAAGGCTCGGCCATTATGTGCTGCTAGGGCAAGCATGACAAGGGCGGCGAAGCGGCGTAGCAGGTCCTAAAAAGCTAGGTCTACACACACCACTCCTATGCTCTCACTGCATGTCCCGGTCTCTCAACCCGTGTGCTACACCACTGTGGGTGGACGAACGCAGTGTGCCCACAAGGGTGTGGTGGGCACATTCAATGTAGTTTAGGAAGATAAATGTGCAAGTTTAGTGAGCCATATGTGCAATTTTCAACTACTAGGATCCAGATGAAACACTACGGGATACAGTAGTTTTGCCGAGTGTTAGGGGCACTCTGCAAAGGCCCAAAAACACTCGGCAAATGCTTTGCCGAGTGTAACACTCGGCATAGAACACACGTCATTAATTTGTCGGCAAACAGTTGTTTGCCGAGTGTCAATAAACACTCGGCAAAAATAAACTCTCGGCAAAAAAATGGTGACGGGATGGCACGGTGACGGCGATTTTGCCGAGTGCACGACGGAAAAACACTCGGCAAAGTTTCTCAAGTTTGCCGAGTGTCAAGACGAAAACACTCGGCAAAGTTTCTCAACTTTACCGAGTGTTCAGACCAAAACACTAGGCAAAGTTTCTAAACTTTGCCGAGTGTCACGGTCATAACACTCGGCAAAGTTTGGTTTTGCCGAGTGTGTCGCGCTCAAAACACTCGGCAAACAACCGCGCAACGAACAGATTTATGGTCACTTTGCCGAGTGTCCATTATAATACACTCAGCAAAATCAAAACACTCGTCAAAGAAGGTTCCCAGATAACAGAAAATGGACTTGTCGCCGAGTGTTTTTCCTGGACACTCGGCAACTCCTCTCTTTGCCGAGTGTTACACTCGCCAAAGCGACCAAGACCCCCCCCCTTTTTTACTAATCTGTCACATATAACAGACCCCTCTCAATTCACAAAAAACCATGACAATTCACAACAAAACATCATCACAGGCATAATTATATGTCACAGGTATAATAAACCATCATCATAATTCACAATAAACCATCATCACAAGTCACAATAAACCATCATTACAATTTACAATAAACCATCATCACAAGTCACAACTAAGTCACAAATGCAAATGCAATCACTGCGGAGGCCCTTGGAACCTCTGCGACAAATCCGGGTCTTGAGACCGATTATTTGATGCCGCCGATCGATTCTGCACAAAAGAGAAGAGATTGCATGTGTAAGCTGCAGATATAAAAAACTCACTACAATCAGAAAGTATAAGTAGTGTCTTCAAAAAATACTTATAAAAAAGATCATAGTCCTGATTGGTTTACTATCCATCTGTGACCTGAACTCACGACCCGTGCTCATGCAAGTTTAGAATAGCTCACGTTCAGCCTTAGTATAGAGTCTGATTCTAAGACATATTAGAACATGTGATGCACGTTGTATGTTCTGTTGCTATGTAAGGGCATGTTTAGTTATAAAAAAGAAGGGGAAAGAGAGAAGAGAGCATGTCTACCAAAACCCTTGTCATTTTACACATGCTGTTCCTTATTCCTTGCATGTGTTATGTGCAACTGTATGCCTTTTTTTTTAAAGTCCAGATACAAGGAAGCTGAGAGCGACTATAACAAACACCTGGAGCTGAATCCTGGGTCTGCTTCAGTGGAAAAGGAATTATCCCAGCTTCTTCAGGCTCAAAATTCATTACAATCTGCTTATGGCCAGTTCGATTCTGGTGACTTTTCAAAAGTCGTGGAATACATCAACAAAATTGTGCTCGTCTTTTCTCCAGGTTGCTTAAAGGTGTGATTACGGACAGGAAAATTCCATCTAGTCATTTCTCCTTGGGTTGTGGTACTAAAGATTCAATTTGCAGGCAAAGCTTCTCAAGGCTAAAGCATTGCTAGCACTGAAAGACTACTCAAGCGTTATTTCAGAGACCGGATTCATTCTAAAGGAAGATGAAGACAACTTGGATGCACTGCTATTACGTGGTCACGCCTACTATTACCTTGCTGATCATGATGTGGCCTCCAGGTAATTTAGAAAAGCATATGCATGTGCTTATACACACCCAAATGCTCTCTAGACTATATTCAAATAATCCTTTTTTGTTTAGGCACTACCAGAAAGGGCTCCGTCTTGATCCAGAGCATTCAGAATTGAAGAAAGCATATTTCGGGTTAAAAAATCTTTTGAAGAAGACTAAGAGTGTGAGTGTCATTCTTCTTATCAATCAATTTGGAGTGTACAGTGTCGTAGTAGTTAAATCATACGGTGTCGATGCAGGTTGAAGATAATGCTGCCAAGGGTAAGCTACGTGTGTCTGTTGAGGACTACAAGACAGCTCTAGCAATGGATCCAGACCATACTACTGCTTATAATGTACATCTTTATCTTGAGTTGTGTAAAACTCTGGTCAGACTTGGGAGAAGTAAGGAGGAAATCAGCAGCTGTACAGAAGCACTGAGCATAGACAGTGAACTTGTTGATGCACTTACACAGGTAACTTGCCTGCCTGGAATCACGCAGATTATCAATGTAAAATTCAGAATGCAAACTCAACATTTCTAAGACCTGATCTTACATCTTTGACACTAGTTTCTAAATTTTTTTTGGATTTCATTCTATTTAGGTACCCCAAGTGTTAACTGACATTGTTACGTGGTGTATAAAACTATGCTGGAATCCATCTAAGACCCGGCGCGTGCATCGGGAAAAAAATTAACACCATGATGATTGTAGTTTGCATGTGTGTTTAGCTACAAACGACGTTTTCAATGCTTTTGTTTCACGATGATTTTAACCCAAGAAATTATCTAAGACATTCTTCTGCTGATAATTAAATCGAAACCACGCTATTTGATGACAATGTTAAGTGGTTGTGGGTGTCAAGTGACTCACAGGAGTAGTTGTGGGTGGCTGAGGTGGAGGGAATAACACCGGTGGCGGTGACAAAGCTTGACCCATACTCGATGCAAAATTCTGCATGTATTGGAACATTTGGTCCATCCTCAACCGATTTTCTTCCTCTATCCTCTGCATCGTCCGCCGTTGTTCTTCCTCCATGTTCTGCCGTTCGGCCGCCACCCTCTGCTGAATCATCTCCACCATCCTCGCTTCCATCTCCTCCCGTTGCTTTGTTTCTGCTTTCACCCGGGCCTATAACATTTCATCCCAATGTTATAATGCAAAGCTAAAGTACGTAACAATCAACGAATGATGAATAAATAAGAAATAACCTGGAGAGCCTCCATCTGGAACTGTGTAGCGGTTGGCCGTGGGCGTATCGCCGGGCTCACGCTCGTGCTCCTTGCTCGGATCTGGGAGAGAGTGGGAGTAAAGGCCGTGTCGATTGTACTGTCGCCAATCCAGTACCGGCCATGCTTCTTGCGTCCTCCCACCCTCATCACGATTTCTCCATCAAGATCCTAGGTGCTCGGATCAAACTGTGGCCCATGAGCCTGCCTTGCCATCGTTGTGTACTCACTGACGCAGCTGTGGATGCTGGGATCGCTGTACGCCTCGGGCGGGTCCTCCGGGTTGAAGTCGATGTTTGCCGTCGCCTTGCCCTTCTTGGACAGAACCCATGCCTTGAACTAGGAGCAAGGTTGGCCATCATGTGACGACGACCGCGGCAAAAATGCAAAATGATTAGAAATTATGCAGAATTGAGTGTTAGAATAAAGAAATGAATTCGCATATCCATTTTTCCCTATATTCGTCGAGGCTCGGGCTGCCTTGATGGTGTGATGCACGTGGCATCAGCAAACGCCAGTCCCGGCAAGCGGTTTGCGTCTCCACCCACCCGGGCTCCAACCACTTGTCCACCATGTATTCCTAGCACTGGGTATGCTGGGCGCACCAGTACGGAGGCACCTACGTGATCAAGTATGTGACATATGAAAAAATGAAATTAAGCGTAATTAATCTCATAAAAAGTAAGTATTGATGTTCTATATTTACCTACAAGAATTGTTCCCGGGTCAGGTTCATTGTTCTTGCCTCTTCTTTTTTAACCTTCAACCCTCTGTGTTGAGCATAGTAGTCGATGATGGCCTGGACGCGCGCCTCGTAGTGCATGTCCTTCACGAGCTTCTTGGTGGCTTCTTTAGAGATGGAGGCCGCCTTGGCCTCGTACCCCTCCTGGCATCTGTAGAAGTCTTGCATATAGACGCGATGTATATAGTCATTACTTCAAGAATGTCCAGTGAATGTGATGTATTGAGCAATGTAGTGCTAGGAATATTTACCCATAGCTCGCCCTTCACCAGCTCCGCCTTGTTGGGGAATACCCTGCCGTCACGATCAGCGGCGTCGAGGGCGGTGACGTAGTGGTCCCACGTGTAGGCCGGCTGCAGCTCTTCGCGGAACTGCACTAAGCCAGGGAAGTGTAGCCTGCACAAAAGGCCAAGGATGCCTTTGACCTTGCGGTTGTGATCACCCCCACTAACCTTAATCCAAGCCCTACCCAAGTGATTAAGATAAATTATTAGTTTCCATTATAATTTTCAACATATCAAACGAAAAATTATTGAGAACATATAAAGTTACTTACTTTTTCCCAGAGGGTCGAATCATCGGGCGCCTCTCAAGAGGTATCGGTCACCTCGGGAGGGTCGAGGGACCTCGCAACCAGACCTAGGAACCCACTGCCTCCTCCACCTACTCCTGCTCCTCCTGTACCTCCTCCTCATCACCAGAGGCGTGGGCGGAAGGTACCTCCTTAGACGATGACGAGGGAGCTACAGGCGACGGGGGCCTCGCCCCTTTACCCTTCCCTTTACCCTTCCCTCCACCCTTGCCTCGACCCCTCCCTGAAGCTAACCCTGAAGCTCCGGTCTTTCCGTAAAGCGCCGTGATATTCCTTGTACCGCCCACCATTGTTCAATCACCTGCAATTAAAAAGAGTAAACCAATCAGCACAGATAAACAAAACATACTTAGAAAGATATGACAAATAATAAATAAATTAGTACGGCTCATACATGTATTAGAAATAATCATCATGATCGGGATTAGCTGGATCATAAGTCTCATCATCACTATCACGCGTGTCGATATAATCATCATGATCAGGAATGTCGTCATCACTATCATTGCCTAAATGTAATCGCTGAAGTAATTCTAAGTCCTTCACATTCTGAACCTCGTCTCCAGCGTCCTCGTCAGCAACCCTTTCATTGTCTACTTCCATTCCAATTGCTTCGGTTAAGTCTATCTCAAAACTCCCTTCTAGCCCATCTTGGAAGAACTCTCCATCATATGTGTTGGGGTCTATGTTGTAATCTTCATTGTTTGGTACAGGTAGTTTACCGTGTGGCGATACCTTGTACACAACATCCCAACCCTTAAGATGGTTGTTGGTTTGGCACGGGTATGAGAGATAATAAACTTGTGTGGCCTGTTGAGCCACAATATAGACATCGTCTCCTGGTAAGACGGATGATTGTCGAATTTCGACTAGCCCAAGATTAGGGGTCCGTCTCACTACTGATGGATCAAACCAATGGCATTTGAATATGACTGGATTAAGAGGTTTGCAACCATGAAACATGAGTTCATATATTTCTTCAATTCTTCCGTAGTACTCGACCCCATCAAAGCCCAGCGTAAAAACTCTGGTATTTGTGGTTCTTCGATTGGGCCGACTCTGCTCGTGGCTTGTTGTGTGAAAGCGATAGCCATTCACGTCATAACCGGTAAACGACTTGACCCTATAGGCACAGCATCGGCAACCTGTCTCAACTCGGCACTCATAGACGCATCAGTTTGGCCCTGCAAGTTCAAGGAGGGTGGTTCGCTATATTATTCGCATGTACGTGCAACTTGTAATGTCAAACTAAGTACGAGCTAAATTGGACTGTACCTTCTATTTGAACCAAGAAATGAAATCGGTCATTCCATTTTCCGCACCCTCTCTGAGAAGGGTCTCAGCTTCCTGCGGGGTAGGTTCCCTTGATTCACGCTAGAATTGACGATGAAATTCCCTGTACCAATGAGAAACATGGGAGTTGGACACAGAATAGTGACTACTTAAGAATAAGTTTGTTGAGAACTTACAGCATGTACGGCTCCACTTCGGATAGGTTGGTCAACACATACAACATGATAGTGCGCCACCCTTCATGTTTCAAGGTCTTGTGGGTCGCACCACTTGCACTTTCGAGTTGCCCTCGGAAAATGCTAAGGCTCGATTCATCTTCACTGGCATTGTAACGAGGGGGTGGATTATGCACACTAGGAAGGTTGTCAGCATAGTATTTTGTTGTGAAGTTTGACACCTCCTCCAGAATGTATGCCTCTGCAATTGATGCTTCAATTTTGCATTTATTTTTACATTTAGTTCGAAGAACCTTTTGACATCTCTCAATTGAATAGCACCAACGGCCCTGCACAGGCCCCCCATTCGTGCTTCATACGGGAGGTGCAGAAACATATGCTGCATCGGATTGAAGAAGCCGGGTGGAAAAATCTTCTCCAACTTACAGAGCAACACATGCGCCATTCTTTCCATTTTCTGCAACCACGTTACGAGATAACTCCTTGGCACATAGCTGGTGGAAGAAATTGCTCAACTCCGCTAGCACCTGCCAGACATGCTCAGGGACATAGCCTCGAACCATCACTGGAAGTAGGCGCTCAAGCCATATGTGGTAATCATGACTCTTGAGCCCATTGATTCGCATAGTAGCTAAGTTCACTCCCCTCTTCAGATTCGCTGCATACCCATCAGGGAACATTAATGTTTGGAACCATTCTAGTACCTCCCTCCTTTGGGCCCTCAACAGGACGAAATCAGCCTTAGGCTTTCTCCATGACTTGCCGGTTCTAGGAGGCACCATGTTCAGCTTTGGTCTGTCGCATAACCTCGCTTGATCCACTCTAGCCTTAACATTATCCTTTGTCTTATCAGGAATGTCCATGATTGTACAAAAAATTGCCTCAGCGATATTCTTTTCAGTGTGCATTACATCAATGTTATGTGGAAGAAGAAGATCATCAAAATAGGGGAGGTCCCACAAGCACGACTTCTGAGTCCAGGCATGTTGCTCGCCATATCCCACAAAACCACCTTCTTGTTTATTGACCTCGAGAGCATCTAACTGAGCATGAACCGCGGCTCCTGTCATCATCTGCGGTGCAGGGTCTTTAACTACGACACCTTTCGTAAAGTTCTTGATGTCTAGTCTGAATGGATGGTTAGGAGGGAGGAATTGTCGATGTTTGTCGAACGAAGAATACTTGCCACCCTTCATCAACCAAATGAACATAAGAGAAGCCTTGCATACCGGGCATGGGAACCTCCCGTGAACACACCAGCAGCAGAAAATCCCATATGCCGGCAAGTCATGCAGGGAGTACTGGTACCAAACATGCATCTTGAAGTTTGTCTTTGTAGCTTGGTCGTATGTCCATACCCCTTCCTCCCAAGCACGGACCAAATCATCAATCAGAGGCTCCATGTACACACTCATATTATTCCCCAGGTGTTCTGGAATTATCAACGACAAGAATATGTTCTGTCGTTGAAAGAGGACACCAGGGGGGAGATTGAGGGGGATAACGAACATGGGCCAACAGGTGTACGGGGCAGCCGCCATTCCATAAGGATTGAACCCATCTGTTGACAGCGCAACACGTACATTACGAGCCTCTAGAGCTTTCTCACGATGAATCTCATCAAACCTTTTCCAGGCTTCACCATCGGATGGGTGTACCATCTTCTTAGGATTGTATCGACGTCCGTTTTTATGCCATGTCATATGTTTCGCAGATTCCTCAGCCATGTAAAGCCATTGGATCCTCGATATGAAAGGAAGGTACCGTAGGATCTTCACGGGGATTGCGAGCTGCCTCTTCTGACCATCACCAGAGTCTACCTCCAGGAACCTAGACGATTCACACTTCACACAATACTTTTCTTCCGCATACTCTTTCCTAAATAAGATGCACCCCTTTGGACAAGCATGTATCTGCTCGTATGGCATCTTAAGTGCATGAAGGAGTTTCTGTGCCTCATACATGCTCTTTGGCAAGATGTGACCATCCGGGAGCAGGCTGCCAACAACTGTGAGCATAACATTGAAGGCGTCTCGACTCAAGCTAAACTAGGACTTCACGGCCATTAGGCGTGCAATGGCATCCAGTTGAGAAACCTTGGAATACCCATGAAGGGGTTGCTGTGCCGCAGACAATATGTCATAATACGCCTTTGTGGTAGCCTCTGGCTCCTCCTCCCTACGTCCTTCATCGAAGTGTGCTTCATGATAGTCATTTAACATGTCTCCTACCCCGGCATCCCCATCATATATCTCGATGCGTTGTCTGACGACCTCGTCTCTCCCATGATCGGCTTCACCATGGTAGATCCACCTGGTATAGTCTGTCGTAAATCCATTCTTGCAAAGATGTTTATCCATGACCAGCTTGGTTTGCCGATACGTGTTTGCACATTTGCTGCAGGGACACCAAGTGACACTAGCTCCTTTAACCCTTGCAAATGCCCGTTCCAAGAAAGCATCGGTCTTGTCAATCCATTCTTCGGTCAACGAAGTCTGACTAAAGCGGCTCGTGTACATCCACTCACGGTCATCCATCCTCTAGCATATCAGCGAGTAATATAAAAAATCACGTTGCATCTACACATTCCTATACTATCTAATAGGTGAAGATAGGTCATAATCCCACCCGAAGATGTATAGATGGGGTTAGTTTCCATCTCTACTCCTATCCAAGACAGAATTTCGGCAGCACCTCCCCGCTGTCCTCCAAATACATGTCCTGGAAGGGAGATTGTGTATCTGGAGAACAACAGGGAGATGCTGCCAAAACTCTATCATGGATCGGAGTAGAGCATGGAAACTAACCGCATCTACACATCCTCGGGCTGTCCAAAAAACGTGGACAATTCGAAACAGATACGATTATAGATATGCAAAGTTCTGCATATTTCCAACCGTATCTCTTTCGAACGGGTGACGCCTAGCTAGTTTACGTGATATACGAACATGATATGGAAAGAAGAGTCTTGTATGCCTCACCTTGCTGTCGTGCAAAGTGACGAGTCGAGGACGTTGCAATAGCCTCTCCTGCAATAAAAGGAACATAGTAGTGTCAAATCTAAATTTCAGCAGCACCTCCCCTGCACGGGGAGGCTTCCAAAACCTACAACAAATACAACGACACGATGGCCGACAACCACATCCACAATAGTCATTCAAGATAATAAATTTTATAAATATTGCGAGCCAAATCTAAAAAATGTTTTGACTCAGGACAAACTTAGATGTACTTATATTTGATCAAACAAAGTGCTATTTATGTAGCAACTGGTAATTCCAACATCTCATTTGTGTTCTGAACTTCCACATGCCTCCTGGAAAGGATATATCACCTATCTAGTGTATCAGGCATGCAGCCATGCATCTCCACCAACTAGCTACATTAAATTTTTTAACAAAAAACTATTCAGACAACCCCCAGCATGAGAAAGATGGGAAAGGAAAACACCATACATGTGCACCATTGATCAAAGTAATTTTTCATCGTTCTCTAGTTACCAAACACTCCACAGAATGTAATTTTCTAAACTGTGGCAGCATACTATCAAAATGGAAAATGGAACCAAAGACAAACAAGCAATCAAGAAACATCTCAACAAACAAACATAAATCAATATTAGATATGAAAATCAATATCAGATATCAGAATCACATGAAATCAAGAAACGCTTCTGATGCATATAATCTTTCATAAGCTTGTGTCCAGCTTCTTCAAAATCAACACTGGACATAATAGTCAAATATATTGTTCTTCTAAGATTCACAAGATTCGTCTCTGTTCTATGCTTGGGTGCCTACAATTATATGGAGCATTTAGAAAATCTTACCGGGGCGGGCGGCGCCGGGGGCGGGGCAGTGATGCCGCGCCGGTGGCGGGGCACGGTGGGCGGGGAGGCGGCGGGGGGTGGCGGCGTGCGTTGCGGCGTGTGTGTGAAGGGCCGGGCACGGCGTGCGGTGTGGCGTGTTGTGTGCGCGAGGGTGAGGGCCGGGGGTGCTAACCACTAGGGGCATATGAAGGAGTATGCCGAGTGCCAAGATCTGGGGCACTCGGCATTTTTTTTTTAATTTTCATTACGGCCAGATACTGTGCAGTGGGGCCAGTCGACAAAGTTGCCGAGTGTCCCCCTATATGACACTCGGCAACTATTCTTTTCGTCGAGTGTCAGGTACAAAACACTCGGCAAAATAAATCGATATTTCATGCTCCACCGTCCTCCTTCTTCATAGTGTGTTCTACTAAATTTGTTATGATGTAATTTAAAAATACCTTGTCAAATTCACTCAACAATGCATATTTGATTTTTCTACGAATATTAATCCATTATTTCATGCAACTCAAATTCAATATATATCAATTAAAATTCTATAATTGTAGTTAATAAATTAAAATTATTAAACGGATCTGAAAAATTACCAAAATTTGATGTGAATCAATCTATATTGTCTATTGTCTATACAAAAAGTTTTGAAGTCAAACCCCAATTCGACCGTCACTTTGACTCCAAATCTTATCGGATCCTTCTAAACATTACGATTCTTCTACGGAGATGCTTCTGTTTGTAAAGGTTGTACGTGACAAATTGTGCGAAACCTTCTCAATTTTTTTCACAGTCTCCACGTATGATATCAGGAGATCTTGACAAATCTCGTTATTTTCAGACTTCGTTTGTTTTTTTTAGAATTTAAAAACCATTCGGCCACATGTTCGTGGTCGTGTTTCCTGAATAAAATGTTCGAAAATTCTTTTCATTTCCCGAGTAAGGCCCCAAAATGGACTCAATAACATGAATATGATTTCTCCACCCAATTTATTCCATTTTTTGTATCAATTGCAGTTCAAATTTGACTTAAACCAAAAAAATTCCTCTAAATGCAATAAATTACTTAAATATAGCGAACAGATCGAGAAATATACCAAATTTTAACATGTAGTACCATGTGTTGTATGTGGAGAGTAGAAAAAGTTTGGAGGTTAGGAGAGAAATTTTTTTTATTATTTTGCCGAGTGCCATTAAAAAACACTCGGCAACAACATTACTTTGCCGAGTGTAAACAAAAAACACTCGGCAAAAATATTAGTTTACCGAGTGTCAAGCAAAAACACATGGCTTACCTTGTCTTTGCCGAGTGTCTCTAACGGACACTCGGCAAAGTTCTAACGGCAGGGCGGCGCACCCAACGGCCGTTAGATGGCCGCCGCACGCCCAGCGCACGTGACTCCATTTTGTCGAGTGTCCGTGTTTGCCGAGAGTTTTGTTGTATTTTGCCGAGTGTTTTATATTAGGCACTCGGCAAAGTTATCTTTTGCCGAGTGGTATATGTTTGCCGATTGTTTCATTAAATACACTCGGTAACTTGGATGTTTGCCGAGTACCCGATGAAATGCACTCGGTAAACCCCCAGACACTCGGCAATTCTACTGTTTCTAGTAGTGAAAGAACTCGGGACAAGTTAAAGGAGCTGCATATGTGATTTGTAAGTACTGAGACTTGAATGAAAGTTCAAGATAAATTTACGGACTGCTGGTGAAATTTACTATATTCTTTTCTAGTATATGTTCAGATTCAGTTCAAATTTTAAAATTGATGGAATAACTCTCCTCGTTAGAACGTCTCTAGTTTCTCTAGTTTTGTAGTGTTGTGAAAGTTGAATATGATGGATTAGAGAGTGGGACAATAGTAAGGGCCTGTTTGGCATAACTCATAATAGCTTTATGAGCTATTGTGAGTTGTTTTATTTGCCAAACACTTATTTCTAAAACAGTTTCACCCATAAAACTGTTTTTCTCTCCATCTCACCAAGACATAAGTTGGGATGAAGCTGAAAAAAATAGCTTATCCCAGCTCTCTCCCTCATTTATCTATATCATCCATGCATTAAGTTATTGGTGAAGCTGTTTTGCCAAACAGTTTTTTCAAAACAGCTCAGCTTTACCTAAAAAATTGCTCATGAAGCTTTACTAGTGTGCCAAACAGGCCCTAAATAGTGTAAATACTTAGCCTTCGACAGTTGCTGTGATATATGAGCTATGTAGAAGTTGCTGTGAGCTACATCAAATAATACGCAAAAACAAATGACTTAGCCTTCTCCTCCGGGATACGGCTTTTCGTCTTTACGTCTTCTTCACTCGTTTTTTTTTTTAAATCTGCTTTTCCTCTTCTCTTCGAGAGGCCACTTCGCGCCGCTGGCTTTCGCCCGTGGCCCGTGGGACCTCCGCTGCCTGCTCATCGGCAAGCTCCTTTCTCTGGGTCTCCTCTCTCCGCATTGGCTCCTGGACGCGCCATGTCTACCGCCCACGCGCGCTACACCTACCTACGCTCTCTCGAGAGGCGCAACAGAGCCGACGTGTGCGATCCTGCAGGGTAGGTAGCACATCGCCGGAAGGGGAGAGCGCCAACAGTGGTCATGGAGACGCCGTCGCCGCGGCGTGGTGCTGGTGAAAAGCGAGCGCCTGGAGCGGATCTTGCTGGGGGTGCGTTCTTCTGGCGCGCTGCCTGTGCCCAGAGCTCCAGAGCAGGTGCTGGCGTACCTTGTACTAGTGCGTACAGGTACAGGGGAGCGGGCGTAAGGTGTTTGCGGAAATGCAGGGGGCAGCGAGAGCCTTTCCTTGGCGCTGCCGGCCCCTCGGCTAATCGTCCCATAGGTACCTTCTTCTGCTCATGACTGGTTGTTCGTCATTCATGTATGCAGCGCGAAGTAAATCAACATGGCCTGCCACGCCTCTGGCGTTAGTTTTATTTGATTTTGGTGCGCAGTACAGGTGTTTGTGGAAGTGCCCCAAACAGGAAATGGTCCTTCAGAAGCAGGCGGTACCGGAGCGGCGGGGCCATGACCTCAACGTGTTTGAACAAATGCTGCAACGTGCCAGATAATACATGGAGAAGAGACCCATTGTTTCCGATGTCTTAGTGCAGCGGAGGTGGGCTCAACAATGTCTTCCTGGGAAGGCAACGAGCAATAATTGCTGTTTTGCAATAGCCTGTAGTCACACATTGGTTCGTGTCAACAGCTGCGAAGTGTGTAGTCACTGGAAAACTCCTAGCCTCATGTTCAGTGCATGAAGATGGAAGACCATTCTACGTAGTGGAAGGCTCACTGGAAGCTATTGAGAAGTTTCAATACCGTGTTCTTTCCAAAGTGGCCCATACTGGACTGTCAGAGTCACTGCAAATTTCGTGGAAATTAGTCCTCAAGAGTCAGGTAAGGTGGCTGTTAGCCTGTGATTTCTCTTCAACAACGGAGCTCCTCTTCTTCTCATGTTTAGCCGTCTTGAGTCTCTGAGGACTGAGGTAGATCAGGTAACAAACCAACCCCCAAGAGCATGGCACTCTGGAATGGCGTGGGTCAGGTAGCCAGCATCGCGCAGCTCGCCGGTGTGGATGCGTCCGGTCTGTTCTCAATGATTGTGGAGGCCGCACAGACGGTTAAAAGGAGCCGGGAGACCTGCCAGCTGCTGGCACGGCGTACAAAGATGATGGGAGATCTTCTGCAGCAGCTCCAGAGCACGCAGCTGATGCAGCACACGGAGACGAGGATCCCTGTGGAGCAGCTGGAGGAGACACTTCGGCACACGTACATGCTCATCACGTCATGACGGGGGGCAGCTACCTGCACAGCTGCTTTATGGGAGGGAGGCAGGCTGATCAACTCCGTGAGGTGCAGAACGAGATCACCTTCTACCTTCAGCTCTTCCCCCTTGTCAGCTTAATTCTGAACAGAGATTGTCCTTTGTGTACAGAGGTACGGATTTTCGACATTGTCATGTTTCAGAATTCCATGCCTGCAACATGTCAGATAAAAAAAATTAAAAGTTGCTGTTCTAGTGTAACCATGTGCTCAGTGCCTCTTAACTTTCAATTTGGCTGATTTTTTTGTCAATCAGAGAATAGCATTATGTGGAAACCTCTGAGATTAGTGATGGTTTATGCAACTCAAGCCTCTTGGTCACAAAACTGCATAAGGCTTAGTAGTTGTCTAAAAATCTAGTTCAAAGGAACTTAAATATAAGGAGCAGCATGTAGCCAATTTACATGCTTTTCATGGGGAAATATTTGCTAACATCGACCTCCATTGTGACATACCATGCATTGTATAAAATTTAAGATTCAAAATGTCGTCGATAGCAGTTTTTCCAGGGGTATTTTCTAATTAAGGGAAAAGTTATGCTCCAAGGATCTTATTGCTTTTATTCTTAATTTTCGTTTTCAAGGAAACTGAAGGTGGGATACACACAGTGCGTTCGCAATATGACAGTAGGTATATTAAATCAATGGTTTCCCTTTTTTGTGTCACATTCTTGATTCATGATCCCCTTGTTTATTGGGATTTGGGACCACTGTAAACCTGCCTCATGTTACCTCCATTTCATCACAGGTTTACACAGAACAATTCATAAATATCTTAGCTAGTACTCCATGAAATAAAATTTGTAGAGCAACATAGCTCTGCTCAAACTATGAATATGCTAAGGTTTGTAATATGAAATTTATGCACTGTCTATGCAGTATTTGTCGTGGTGTACAATTCTGGTGGAGATGATTAAATCAGTAGAACTCAACCTATTACATAGTCAACATGTGTGATACTAGTTATGTGCTACATCAATCAACAAAACTTTCGCCTCATCCGCCCTGCCCAGTGACCATAAATACAAATGAAACAATTGCCTCTGATTCTCTGAATAGCAAGTCTTGATTGTTCATGAAAAAATAGCCACATCTTGATGTCATTTTTTCATGTAACCTATCGTTCCTGTATATTTGGTACTGTATCAGCCTCAGAACTAAGGACCTCAAGGCATTTATATTTGAAGATTCAGGTTCTCATCCTCTCCTAAAATCTAGGGGAGAGCAAAATCTAGGTATGCCCATGCACGTACCCCACAATCTCTTGTTTGTTTCTAACTGTGGCACTGTGCTATATATTTGCAGTGCAGATTTAAAAAGTGCAATTTTCACGTAAATATACATCAGCAATCCTGTAGCATCCTTCGGCAGAGAACATGTTTGAGAAAAAAAAAAACTTCATCGAAGTTTTGATGCAGATTTTCATGAAACAACCTTGTTCAATACAGTAATAGTTAAACTATCTTCTCAAAAAAAAAAAAAATTTAAGCCCATGAAGGGCGACTTTAAACAGATGATTGCCGTACTATTTTCTTACAAAACCGTTTTCTTATGCACTCATAAATGATTGAGCCTCTCATTTTCTCGTAGGCTTGAACCTCCTGATACCATCAGGATCTTCATATTTTGCTTCCTCCTTTTTACTGGATGGAGGGTTGCAAAGTATTTTTGTCATTTGCGAAGTGCTAACATGCACATATTATGCAATTTTATCTAGCAGCTACGTTAACTTTGTTGTATTATGTTCATGTCACACATATTGGGTCACTAAGATTTTATTTGTTCCTTACTCTCTAATACATCTATGTAACTCTGGAACACAAACATGTCAATTGCCAATATATGTGAATGTACATAATTTCATCATATTTGTCACATATTGATGCCTTTTATTTTGATGAAAAGGTTGAATAGAGCATAACCTTTGATGTAATCAAGGCAGATTTTGTGTAACCAGGGCATGGACAAATTACTTTCTCGTTCTATCCAACAGTCTGTCAATTTCATTTTAAGAAAATTATAGAAGTTAACCAGAATGAGGACCCCTTGATGTAGAAAATCACCTCATCTGTTCTTCCATAACTCTGTTGCATATGCACTTTTGATTTTAGACTATAAGGGGAAGCTTTGAATTATTACTCTACTTCAGTTATACTCTAGTTTGCATTATTACTAGGAGGATGATAGCTGTAAGCTTAGTGTTTACTCTTTCAAACACATATGACTGCTATTTATAATTAGTGACTTGGTGGGGTTTCCTGTAAACCAGGCCACGGCATGAACACGGGAGATGTAGCAAATACCATTTGTGATCGAGAAGAAGAGTTGCTGCATTTTAGTTTCTCTCAGATTTTGGATGCTACAGACAATTTATCAGAAAGAAACTTGGTTGGAATTGGTGGATTTGGTCATGTTTACATGGTAATGTTTTGAGACAATCTTTATCATCAAATGAGTTCTTGAACTGTTCAAGTATGACATCCAGGTCAAAAGAATTCTCAGAACACATCCTCCACGTGGTGACAGGGCCCCTCACATGTGGCACCTTGCTAGTGTTTAATGATCAAAAGCATTTGCTCTCTTGGTTTACCATTCAGTAATACCAGTACTCCAGCAGCCTACAAGCTTACACAGAAAAATTTCTAGTCCCCTTATACATCTTTAGATTTATTCTTCAACACTGGCATTTAATTTCTTTAGGGCAAACTGTTGAATGGTCTTGACATTGCTGTCAAAAGATGCAGTAAATCGTCAACTCAAGGTCCAGAGCAGTTCAGAACTGAGATTGAAACCATTCCAAATCTTCAACATAAAAACATAATTGCTTTACTTGGTTGCTGTGTTGAAGGAGGAGAAACGATACTTGTCTATGAATACATGCCAAATAAAAGCTTGCCATCTGTCATCGCTGGCTAGATCTCTAAGTCTCTTTCATTTTTTTTTTTGCTCATTGTTAAGCAGTGGTACTCTCAATGGCTGTTGCAAATGTCTTTGTCTTTTTGTAGATGAAACAAAAAGGGTGTTGCTAAATTGGTCTAAACGTCTTCAAATAATTGAGGCCATAGCTGATGGTCTTGCTTATTTACATGGGAATTCCCAGATGGGCATTGTCCACAGGGACATTCATCCGGATAACATCTTGTTGGATCAGGAAATGAATGCCAAAATTTCTGATTTTGGTCTGGCTATGAAGCTAGCTCCAAATGCAATTGAAGAGGTGGCCGTGTGTGGCACATAGTAAGATCTCATCTCAGGCATCTGATACAACAATTAAGTTAGAGAGGCAACTCTCCTTTACACTCCATGTTGGCATAATGAACTAATGAGCCTATCTTCATCTTTTAATGGCTATGCAACTCCTGAATATCTTGCTACCGGAGAAATCTCACAGGCAGATGTGTATGGCTTCGGCATTATATTTCTTTCTTGAGTTAATAACTGGAAAGCTGCTCAGGGCTTATAAACAGCAATCAAACAGCAAATATCTAAGGCTGCTACTTCCTGATTATGTATGTATTTTTGTTAAAAAAAGTGCATGCCATTAAATAGGTTACCACGTTAGCGTGATCATTCGCAACATGGTTATTGTCTTATTGATAGTGTAAAAATGTTCCAACTAGATGTTTTTCTGAGTTGCCTTGAACTTCCTGGCCGCTTTGTTATTATTCTGGACATCATTTCTGGTTTATAATTGCAGAACTGTGACTGAACTGTATGTACTTCAAAAGTTGCTACTAAAGACTCTAACATATACCAATTTGTGAATTATTTCAGGCACGCACATATCGAAAGAGGCTGCACAAGATTATTGATCCATTACTATATGTTACAAAGCATGCCCGAGCTCAGATCACAGAATGTGTCAAGTTGGCGCTGTTGTGCACTAGCAATTTTGAAAATTACCTAATATGTCTGAAGTTGTTTCCATGCTTCGCAACATCAAGGGGACGCAGCAATAGAGAAGGGTAGTGGATTCACATTATCAGATATAGTTTCTGGAGGAACCATATGTAAAAAATAACCATGCAAAATGTGAACTAATGTTTTCCTGTGCAGTTGATGTTTTTTCGCATAGTCTTTTATGAAGATAATAATGATAGTATTTGAGTTGTGACAATAGTATTGTAAATGCCACATATACAAAATTGCAACAAATAGGCCCTGATTGTTTGGGCTAGTTTGACTTATAAGCCATGGCTGAAAGCACCGTTGGCTGGTTTGATGTAAGAGAAAAATACTGTTCGTTGGCTGATAAGCCATGGCTTATAAGCCAGATATGAGCAAGCGAACAGGCTGAGAGTCTCTTTTCGCATTGGTACATGCAGTGATGCAGAGGGAGATTGAGCCTGGCAACTGGCAAGTTGGTTAAAGGCTCAATCAAAGCACACAGAGCTGGTCTGAGGTCCCATCCATGCCGTCTGTTTCCAGCAGAGCTTAATATGCACGTAGCTGATCTGCGCTTTTGGACATCTTGTGTACAAATGTTGCAGAGAAGAGGAGATAGGAAGCTTTCTTTCACATTTGCAAAAAATAAAATAAAATAAACAACTACCGAAGCTGTTTATTGCTTGCGTGGTTGCGTCCAAACTCGGCTCATGGAGAATGATCGCTGATTTTGGTTCACCACGGGATTGCTGATTGGACGGGGATTCTCATGGTCGTCCACAGTGCGACCTGGACAGTGGACACCTGGTACGGTGGTGCCATGCCGATGCTGTTTGCTGTTGCAGAGGAGGCCACGGCGTCACCACGCCCGTGTGTGCGCGGAGGCTTCCGAGACGGACACGTGATGCGGCGGGCGACGACCGGAATTCAGCTCGGCAGCGCTCGGGCAAGCCACAGCCACGGCGGGTCGTGGACGCACGGTTTCTCTCAAACACCGTTGACCCTACTCGGTGCCTATCTGCCGTCCGATCGAGCGCGTGCGGCCTAGAACGTCGAGAGTTCTCAGTTCTCTTCCTCTTCTGGCTTTCGCTCGCGGGACCTCCGCTCCGCCGCCTGCCCGTCGGCCCGCTCCTTTCTCTGGGTCTCCTCGCTCGCTGGCTCCTGCAGCAGGCGCCACGTCTACAACGCACGCGCTCTACACCTTACTACGGTCTCTCGAGAGGCGGAACAGAGCCGACGTGTGCGAGCCTGCAAGGTAGGCAGCACATCGCCGGAAGGGGAGAGCGCCAACAGTGGCCATGGAGACGCCGTGGCCGCGGCGTGGTGCTGGTGGAAAGCGAGCGCCTGGAGCGGTTCTTGCTGGGGGTGTGTTCTTCTGGAGTGCTGCCTGTGCCCAGAGCCCCGGAGCCCCAGAGCAGGTGCTGCCGTACCACTATTGTGTACAGGGGAGCGGGCGTAAGTTGTTTGCGGAAATGCCGAGGCCAGCGAGAGCCTTCCTTCGCGCTGCGGGCGCCTCTAAGCTTGCCGTCCCGTACGTACCTTCTCTCACATTTGCAAAAAATATATATAAACACCTATTGAAGCTGTTTATTGCTTGCGTCCAAACTCCAAACTCAGCTGTTTTCCTGATCACTATTACTTTACGTTAGCCTGTAAAGCTTATTTAAATATGCTTCGCATTGCACAACAGCATCTTCTTGCTTTGTTATTTTCAATAGGGAAAAACAAATGGGGATTGATTCGATGGTCTTTCCAAAGTAATAGCTAGCTTTTTTTTTTTTTTGAATATAAGTAATAGCTAGCTTTCGGAACCATTAGCCAAGCAACATTGGAAAAATCGCTAGCCATCATCTCCACACTATCCATGCAGCATTGGAGTTACAGGTAGCCATCATCTTTTGCATTCCGATCGTAGGAACCACTGACCAAATTAAAAGTCCTCTGTTCATCTTGCCTTCTGATCCACTGACTGCACTACCATTGATCACCATGGCCACCACACCAGAGGTATTCTTCGGCAAGGGTCTCATGGAGCAGCCACCACCATCCCCACCTGTCTTCACCGACGACCTTCCCCAGGAGCCCAATGGCAGCAGCGAGGGCCAGCATCATGTCCCTAATGAGATGATGCTTTCTTACGTCTCACACGTGCTCCTGGATGATGATATTGACGAGCAGCTCAATAATCACCCTGCGCTACTCCAGGTGCAGCAGCCCTTTTCTCAGATCCTGTCTTCCCCTTCCTCTGGCACTAACACTGGCAGCAGGGAGGGGTCCGACGATTTCTTGCATGAAGGCAATGTTGATGAAAGTGAGCTCAATCCGGCTTTATCCAAGGGCACAGATGCTGTGGGGGCGTTTTTCAAGGGCATGGAAGAGGCCAACGGGCTCTTGCCCAAAGACAACTTCAGAAGGGATGAGCTGGTGAATCAGACGGTCAGGGAAAGCAGCAGTCACAGCGGGGTGAAGAAGAGGCATAGCAGGGATGATCATCTACAAGTGGAGATAAGAACCAGCAAAGCTATGACAGTGATCAAGGAGCCAGAGGAGAACTTGGCCAACGAGATGCTTGATGAAATGATGTTGTATGGCTACAAGGAATGCATCAGGGACATGGACAACCTCCATGTCACCTGTGACAATAATGAAGTGGAAAAGAAAAACAGGAATAGTGGTAGCAAGGAGACGAGGGACAACAATGTGGTGGACATACAGAGGTTGATGATCTCTTGTGCACAGGAGGTGGCGGTGAACAATCACTTGAGGGCACGAGAGCTGCTGAAGCAGATCATGCATCATGCATCAGAAACAGGGGACGCCACTCAAAGGCTGGCCCAATGTTTCACCAAGGGGCTAGAGGCACGGCTCGTGGGCACGGGGAGCCTGCTTTGGGAGTTGCAAATGGCAGAGCGACCGTCTGTTGTGGAGTTCATCAAGGCCTTCAACCTTTACTATGAAGCCTGCTGCTTCAACAAGGTGGCACTTGCTTTCTCCGAGATGACCATCATGCAGGCCATGGTGGGTAAGAGTAGGCTACACATCGTTGATTATGGTATGCGGTTTAGATACCAATGGGTAGGCTTGCTCCGCTCGTTGGCGAGTAGAGAAGGTGCCCTGCCAGAGGTGAAGATCACTGCCATAGGCCTCCCCAAGCCCAAATCCTACCCAACCGAGAAGATCGAGGAAATAGGGTGCCGGCTCGGCAGATGTGCCCATGAGTTTGGTCTGCCTTCGTTCAAGTTCCACACTATCAAGACAAACTGGGAGGACGCTTGCATCGAGGACCTGAACATAGAGGCTGATGAGGTGCTTGTCGTGAATGACCTCTTCAGTTTCAGCACCTTGATGGACGAGTACATATCCTTTGATGGCCTAAGCCCCAGGGATATCGTCCTCAACAACATCAGCAAGATGCGACCACATGTGTTCATCCAGAGCGTCTACAATTGTTCGTATGGTTCGTCCTTCCTGTCACGGTTTCGAGAGATGCTGTTCTACTACATGTCACTGTTTGACATATTTGATGCAACCATCCCAAGGGAGAGTAGATCTCGAATGGTGCTAGAGCAGATCGTGCTTGGACGCTCTGCGGTGAATGCCCTCAGCTGCGAAGGCGCGGACCTAGTGGAACGCCCTGAGAGGTACAGTCAATGGCAGACGCGAAACCAACGGGCTGGCCTGAGGCAGCTACCACTGAGGACAAGCATTGTAGAGGTAGTGAAAGATATGGTCATGAAGCACCACCACAAGGACTTTCTGATCTCCCAGGATGGCCAATGGCTTTTGCAAGGATGGAGGGGGCGTGTCCACTTGGCTCACTCGACATGGGTTGCAGCAGATGCCTTTTCTAGAGTTTAGGTTCTTCCAATGCTGAATGATACAGCATGGTCTTCGGAAACTGCTTGTGATAGGAGAATTTGCTCACTCAGGCTACGACTGCTGGCATTTGTGGTTGCGTGTTGTTGTGGTTCTTTTTCTTTTATTTTGTGAAATGACCAGTAGAAGTGCTGCACGACATGTATTAATAGAGAAAAGGTAATTCTTGTATTTTTGCATTGTGGATTTAAAGTAGACACGATACTGTAGAAAGGTCTAGCACCGTTGATTCTGATTTTTTTTTTTTGAGGAAACGATTCCGAAGGCTTTTTACTGGCCTTTTTTTTTTGAACCTACAATACTTGGGTGCAAATAGAAATTGCCTTGAGCACCATTAGTTTCCCAACTGACGGAAACCAATCTGTGGTGTCAGTTCTAAAACAAACTGTAGAACACCGTCTCCTATACCTAAACAGGAGAACCCCATTAACTTAATTTCCTGGCTTCTCCTTGAGCCACTTCATCATCTTTGGACCCGCCGTTTATTCTTGCGCACCCACTGAAGAGGCGCAAAAAATGATTCCACGGTCGATTCCTCTTCCACAACACACCATCGATTCCAGAAACTGCCACTGCAAATCCAAGCAGAGAACACGAACCCTCGTCGCTGCAGTCGAGTTTAAATAACTCTGTTCCGCCTCGGCTACACTCACTGGCCACCTCGCTCCACATCGGCGGCACGGCCATGCCCTGCCCCGCTCAGGGACGCCACACCGCATGACGCCGCTTCCGTCGGGCTTCTCCCAGCTCAACCGTCACGACGTCCCCGCGCTCTACCTCGGCCGTCGCACATAGGATCGCCGAGCATGGACCTCCGCTGGGTTCCTTCCCGCTCGGCAGCGCTACGTTGCCCCGCCCGTTCGCCTGCGTGATGCCTGCGGAGCTTTACCCATGACGACTCCCTCGCCGCGCCCGCACCCTTGCCGGCGGTACAGCCCCAGTCCCCAACCCCGGGCGGCTGTTCGCCTCAGGCCTGAGCTCGGCGGAGGAATTTTGATCTGCGCCGTTGCCGTTATTCACGCGATGAGGGCGACATATGGAAGGGGATCTGAGCGGAGGTCCGATGCGGAACGGCCGCGGAAGAGGAATAAGCGGATGAGGCCATCCGTGCGTCCACGCCTGACGAACACAAGGTAATGTCGTGGCTTTATTATTATTATTGATAGGGGCGGCAGTTTTGTTTTAATGGGAGATGGAAGATTTTTTTTTTTTTGGTATAGGAAAGATAATGAGTGAGTGCGGTGGTTTTCTTCATGTGTTCCACAATTGATTCCCTAGATCTTTTTATCTGTTTATCTATCTATATGTGCTTTCTTTTTAACAAAATTTAAACAACAGTTGCGGTCTTCTGGAGACCAAAACAGTACCTAGGAAACTACAGAAGGTGTTACAGGTTGCACGTAAGTTGTTAGATGCCTTCATTTTTTTTATTATTATATATAATACCATGTACGTGTATTTTCTTTACCAAAGTATGTCTTTGATTAACAGGCGTTTAAAACGCTGCGTTTTGTTAGGCTTTACTGAAGATGAATCATTGTTTTCCATTAATATTTCGAGATACAGTCATAAAGAAACAAAAAAAGTATTTCTCCAACCGTGATCAGGTATAACGTTACAAAATCACGCAGCAACGCGTGGGGTATCATCTGGTTTGTAAAACATGCTCGTCAGAGGTCCCTTTCATGCTGTCTGTTTCAAGCAGACCTCAATCAGCCTGTTCGCTTTTTGGTTTCAAAAGCGAACTATCATCCACAGACAGATGCGAGTGTTTTCTCTCAAAATAAACCAAGATTAGTCGGGCTTATCAGCCCGAAAACTAACCAAATGAACATCTTTGAATATAGGCACATAGCTGATCTGACAATATGGAAATGCTCTGTAGTGCAGTTGTTTGTGTAGATGCCGCAGGAGGCAGTCAACTGTTACTGACGGTGCCAGGAAAATATAGTGAGCTCGAAGTGTTTGGGAAATGCCACAGCCTGCCAGAGCGACTGATGTTGCGCGAAGAGAAGAGATGCCTGACAGTTTTTTCTTTACTCTGGTTCTGTTTCAGTCTCTGCTATAAACAGAATTTATATTCCATGTTGGTGTGATGGACTGATGATTCTGTCTTCATCTTCTAGAGTAGCCACACGAGGCTTTGCTGGGAGTGTTTCTTCAAAGGTGACAGACTAACAGCTCTCTGCTTTCCTTGTTCAGCTAACACCATTCTTCTATATTGGTCGTTCTGGGCGTGTCACCAGCTTCTCTAGCGTCTCCAGAATTTGGAGACTACAACGGTATTCCAACAGACCCTTCACTGGATACAGAACTCCCCAGCTTTTGAACATCGCACTGATGGATGCAGTGGCGAAGCCAGAAATTTGGATCAGGGGAACAAATGTCAATTGGGGGGTGGGGTGGGTGGGTGTGTGTGGGGGGGGGACATTTACCCTTTAGTTATATGGCCATTAGCTAGATCATTAAGAGGTGTAGTGGAAAAGAATCAAAGTTATGGGGTGTTGGGACCTCTCCAGCCCACTCACCGCCCAGTCTTTGCCCCTAGATGGATCGCCATAGCCGCTACTAGTGTAAGAAAACAACAGAAGAATGGACGGTGATGGACGGCGAGGATGACACACCTCACAATGGATCCTCCACGTTCAAGAGGATCGCCATTGCCACTCCTCTGTCATGTTCTACCATCTCACATGCCACGGTGACGGACGTCGCCCGATGTCAACATCTAATCTTTGACTTGGACCGCGGGCCGGATCACACGGGCAACAAACACCATGCCCATCCCAACCTTTATGCAACGACGAAGAATGAGCATTTTCATGTCTTTGCTCATACTTTGGTTTGCAATCCCATCTTCATTTAACATAAGCCCCTCCTCTCCTGCTCCATCATCTTCTTTGTTTTTGTCTCCCTCTTGTCCCTTTGCCCAACACCACCCCAATAATTTCCAAGTACCTCGAGCAAACTGCGGAGTCCGCTGTTTATACTATTGCCCTGAATTTTTTATACTCCTATGAATCTTAAATCCTAAAAATATATCTAGGCTTTGTTCTTTGGGTTGCAATGGTAAGGGGTGTAACGCGCGAGGCTTGAGATGATGAGTTTGATTCTTGGGGTTGCATATGCATGTATTTCTTGCGAAAATGAAAGAAAAGAAAATGCTCAGAACAGTGTGTGGTTGCCTTATGCGAGCCTCCTCGGATAAATTCTGTTTTTGCTATTTTGTTGAGCCTGATTTCTAATTTTCAAAAATCATTTGCAGTGGTGGTTTCCTTAAGAAAACAACCAGTGTAAATCATTTGTAGCGGGGTTTAAGACGCATGTGAAATTCGTGATTTTCACTGACCTTTCACACTGGTGGTTGATAAAAACGACAGTAAAAAAAATAGGTTCAAAACTGCCGGTACTAATATCCTGTATACTAGTTAATCTTTTCCCATAGTCTTGTATGGAGATAATGATAATATATGTGATAATGGGCTTATTTGGTACAGATTATATATATAAGTTATTTATAGCCAAAATAAGTTGAAACCAAAAGCCAAACGGTATGTTTTTTACAGTTTTTTCTGGCCACATTTTTTTCCCATGGCACCTCTCGGCTTGCTGTCCCGTACGTACCTATTGAAGCTGTTTATTGCTTGCGCCCAAACTCAGCTGTTTTTCTAATCACTATTACTTTACGTTAGCCTGTAACGCTTCTTTAAATATGCTTCGCGTTGCGCAACAGCATCTTCTTGCTTTTGTTATTTTCAATAGGGAAAACAAATGGGGATTGTTTCGATGGTCTCTCCAAAAATAATAGCTAGCTTTCGGGACCATTAGCCAAGCAACATTGGAAAAACCGCTCGCCATCAGCCACATGTTAGATATGTACATATCTAGAGGTCTAATTGTAAATGTACTTGTAAATGTACTGATGACCTATGACTATATATATATGAAAGTCATCCCCTCCCTAGTGGGTGGGCGCTGTTTTCCCTATTCCATTCTACACATCATCTCCACTATCCATGCAGCATTAGAGTTAGAGGTCTGTAGCCATCATCTTTTGCATTCTGATTGGTAGGAATCATTGTCCAAATTAAAAGTCCTCTGTTCATCTTTGGCTACTGATCCACTGACTGCACTACCATTGGTCATCATGGCCACCACACCTGAGGAATTCTTCGGCAAGGGTCTCATGGAGCAGTCACCACCATCCCCACCTGTCTTCCCCGACGTCCTTCCCCAGGAGCCCAATGGCAGCAGCGAGGGCCTGCATCATGTCCCTAATGAGATGGTGCTTTCTTACATCTCACACGTGCTCCTGGATGATGATATTGATGAGCAGCTCAGTAATCACCCTGCGCTACTCCAGGTGCAGCAGCCCTTTGCTCAGATCCTGTCTTCCCCTTCCTCTGGCACTAACACTGGCAGCAGGGAGGTGTCCAACGAATTCTTGCATGAAGATAATAATGTTGATGAAAGCATGGCCTTATCCAAGGGCACATATGCTGTGGGTTCGTTCTTCAAGGATATGGAAGAGGCCAACAAGCTCTTGCCCAAAGACAACAACTTTAGAAGGGATGAGCGGTTGAATCACATAGTCAGGGAAAGCAGCAGTCACAGCGGGGTGAAGAAGAGGCATGGTAGGGATGATCATCTACAAATGGAGATAATACAAGAACAAGCAAAGCTATGACGATGACGACCAAGGAGCAAGAGGAGAACGACTCGGCCAATGAGATGCTTGACGAAATGATGTTGCATGGTTACAAAGTGCGCATTAGGGGCATGGACAAGCTGCGTGTCACCATGGACAGTGAAGTGGAAAAGAAAAACATGAATAGTGGTAGTAGCAAGGGGATGAGGGACGGCAATGTGGTCGATATACGCAGGTTGATGATCTCTTGTGTGCAGGAGGTGGCAGAGAACAATCACTCGAGGGCACGAGAGCTGCTGAAGCAGATCATGCAGCACGCATCAGAGACAGGGGA